TATAAATATTAAAACCACTCTTAGATTTTAGTATATGCATTAAATTTGAATTTAATAATAAGCCATTACATATTTTATGTATGGAATAACCATTACATTATTTTTTAATTAATTTAGTTATTATTTCAACATCAAATGTATTTATAAAAGAAAGGTGCGTACATATACAATTTAATCCACTCATTACAATGCTGTATACAACAATATTTTGGATAAAACGATTCTCAGCCATCTTCTTGTTGGYGTTATACCTCACGTGCAGTACAAATATTTGTCATCAGGTCTATCAGGATGAAACAATGTTTAGATATAATAATCTGATTCTCTAAGTCCCTTTAAGATTGTTATAAGCAGATTTGACTGTATACTTAATATTTTTAAATACCTATATATAGGTTGAATACCAACTTATGAGGTAAATTGTATTCATTTTTACTGTACAAAAAATGTTTTATCAATATTTATAAATAACAAAAAAAAAACATTGAAAATGTCAAATATAAATAAATAGCTCTAAAAAAATTGAGAATCAAACAAAGTAAGAAATTATTTAAATGCGTAAGTAATTGTGAACATGTAAATATTCAATGTGGTTAAAATGTAATCTACAGATACTTATAAAAAATATTTGTGAAATAACGATTAACTTATTTTTTTTAGTTCCAATATTAGGAACTTATAAAAAACTTGCAATAAATTTTCAAATTTTTAGAAAAAGTAAAAACAATTTTACATTTATAAACATTCACATAATACCTACAAAAAACAACAACATACATCATAATAAAATCAATTCATTTATTGGTCTGTTCCGAATATAAAATAAATAAATACCTAGATAAAATAAATTTATAATTGTACCCATAATTAAAAACATATTAAAGAAATGAATAGACCTTACAAAACAATAATTTTAAAAGATAATTTAAAGAACTTACCGCCAAAAATTGCATATAAATTATATATTAGAACAATGTATTTACCACGAGGTCTAAATTAAACACGAGTTTAACTCTTGCGTTTGTTAATACTAATGAATAGTAGATAAAATTCTAACTCTGAGTGTACTAAATAACCGTATTTACAATATTTGTTCAACTGCTACAACTGCTAGCAAGCAAACATGCTTAATGACTACACTGTTATTGTTTTAAATATTTTTCAATGGTACTTTTAATGGGAGAAATAACGCCAGCAGTCCAAATGTACGCACGTAGAAAAAAACAGTTCAAGTTAAGAGTTTAAAATAATGATAACTGACAAATACGTATTAAATKGTTACATTGAAAGATTGAACTATTAAATACCTAAGTACCTACATCAGTATATTAATAATTCAATTTTAGATTTCTGCAGTGTGTCAGTTCCAATTGTTCTAGTTGAAGATATATATAATATACATATATACATATATTATATACTATATAGCATACATTATTTTAGTTTAGATACCTCACTTCTCCTTCTCCTACTTTATAAGTCTATTTAAAGATGAGATATATGTAAATATTTACAAAATTTTAACACTTTTCCCCTTCCCATCATTTATTTTGAACTACTTCAACCTTAATAATAATATTTATTAGTTACTAGTTCTAGTAATCGAGGGATAGATAAATCCAAGATGTGCATCCACTTATGAGGGATAATAATAATAAACTATTAAGAATTTTTTTTCTTGCATGAATAAATTGCAAGAAAAAATMAAAGAACATGCGATTATAATTTTACAATTACCATTGATTTCATGTGTATTTGAACAACTTAAGAACTATCAGAAAAAAATATGGGTATTTATTTWAAAAATTTTAAAATAATAGTGCATTTTTTAATGAGCACCCGGTTCAAATGTAAATGTTGATAATATTTGTACATATTTCATAATACATAACTTAATTATAAATTATTTTATACTTTAAAAAATTAATATTAAAATTAACCCTCCCACTATCACAATAAAGATTTAAGCCTAAGGTACATAATATCTATGATAAATATTCATCTATATAATATGAAATAATATCGCTATACAACCAAGGTGTATTAAATATTGATTTACTCAAGGTACTTTCAYACAATTTTTGTTTATTATTAAACATAGATTAGATATGACACATTAATTCCACCATTTTTGAAGTTTTAAATTTGGCAAATAGATATGTATATAATTGCATCTAAGAAAATTAATAATATTATAATATAATAAAATATAAATATTTTTGGTTTAATATATATGATTAAAAGTTAAATAAGTTATAATTATTAATTAGAATTATAATAAGCAACATCTAGAAAAAGCTGTTAATGAATATCAATATTGATATATTAATAATATAACAATCAAATTAATATAACTTCAAACTTTAAAAAAAGTATTATTATTAAATAAATGATAAGTAAATAATAAACATAATGCAATTTGGTGTCAAATTGATCAATGTTTTTTTTAAATTAATATGGTATACAAGATTGATATATATATATATAATATATATATATATATTCACCTTGGTGATATTTATACAATTTTTTATGTTTGATAAAAATATATGAGTGGGTTGGTACTTGGTAGACTAAAATTCTAACACTAAACTAATTAACCTTGCCAATGATCTATGAGTATATTAGTTATTAGTATATAGTATTATATATGTTTTTGTAAATAATAATATAATTTATTACAATCACCCACAGGCTACAAGTACAACAAATRTATTATTGTTTGAGCAGCCTAAAAGTACTGTCAGATAATGTTTTATAAAAATGTACAAGTGGAAAAAGTGTATAACACACAAGTGAAAAACACAGACCATAGTAACATAATATAAAACAAAATGACAAGTAAATTAATTTATTATTTAATTAAAATTTATAAGTAAGTAATCACCTACCATGGAGCATTGACATAATACAAGAGAATAATAATATCTAATAATAATTTTCTAAACTCAATATATCCATATTCTGGAATCTGGATTTCCAAATAAATAACTATATGCAATATATACGTACAAAAATATCATGGAAAATTGATAAGAGTTGTATGAAATTTATTTTATTGATAAGCTATCATCAAGATAATAATGTATATTATTAATATTTCAGCTAAATTATTTACTCTCGATTAAACATATTTTAAATTGAATTCTCTGTTTAATGAAAACATAGAATTCAATTTCAATGAATAAGACCTATGAATATTTKAACTAAAAAATACAGATAGTCAAATATCATCAAATAAAAATTAATTACGTTTATTAGGCATTAATTCACTACCTACCTCAGAAATTGTTGACTATTAAAAGTTAAGTACCTGATTGTTCCAACGAAACATGATCTGGAGAGGTTGGAGCAGTCCCCTCCAAATCTGACTTGTCTTCCAATGCTCCTGCCAGCTTAATGGTCTCGTTTCTTTATTGAGAAAATGACAGTCAACCTGTTCATTAAAATTAGTTATTGCTTATTTTACATAAAAAAAAAAAAAAAACTATACACCTAGCTAAATATTGAATAAATTAAATAAAAATGAATATTTGAAAACAACTATGACTTTGTAATGGTATTTTCGTATAAAAATGTACCAGCAATTGGTCTTGAATAATAAGAAAAGCCTCCGAAGCGATGTGTTTATCAGCTCAATAAAGTGCGCGAATCGAACATGGCAGATAGACGGACTGCTAATTTGAACGGCATACACATACGATACGAACAAACATTAAAAATTAAAAATGTTTAATTGAAGAAAACTAAACTATGACGAAAAATCTTCTATGATAAAAACGAAAATATTTTACTCTTTTGTTTACAATGTTTACATAATATAATATATTGATTGGTTTTTATTTCCACTGGTTTTATCTCATCGTCGGAGGCTGCAAAACGCATTCCTCAGGTATCAGGTTAGCCAACACCGGTGTCCAAGTCACTGATAAGTGATAATGAATAACAGTATAACGTCGCAAGAAAACCGCGAATTGCGATTCGGAATACTTGGACATCAGCGGTCAGAGTTCCTTAMRTTTTACATAGTTACCATTACCATTCAAATAACCTTATTTTCAAATAATTCAATGTACCGAATCAATCTATTCATAAATAAGTGGTGATCAGTGTTGCTCGTAAATTATTAGACTAATATGTTCATTACAACTTGAAAATATATCCAAAATGTAATAGAATTTACTATTTTGAGACTTTCTAGACTAACTTAATCCATATACCTAATCCTAGAGACATAGAGAAAACTGGTACGCATCACGGTTTGATGTAATATTTTATAATTCAAATTATATTACCTATATTATGTATTTTATTAGTTATTACTTTATTAGGTACTCATTACTCTTTATACATACAACTTATTTTTGGTCAAAGAATTAACATTTTATGTATTTAATTTTTATTCCTATTTCTTTTTCTTCTTCTCATGAAAAATAAGTAGTATAGGGTATAGAGTAAATTATTTTCTTCAAACCATACAGTTATACAGACTAATAATATCATATAAAATATATATTGTTASTAATTATGTTTATATGAATYATAATATAATAATTTTATTACTATAACTATGGCTTATGTGTTTATTGATACTAATTGAATTATTATCTAGATAATAATAATAATAATAATAGTGTCTTCAGCCAAAACATACTATTTTAAAGGAAAAAAGCTATAGAAGGTTAATGATTATAAAAAATTTTAAATATATTTGTTAGAACAAAGCACTGTAAATAGTTTTAATATAGTATAATATACTGAATGTAAGTATATCTTTTTTTTTAATACATACAACAAATAAGTTTGTTTAAGACTTCATCTATATGTATTTTTAGAAATATGATACAAATTTACTTTTTACAAGGTACAATTAGGTATATGATCTATTATTTTAATTGATTTATAGGATGATAATCTTAAAAATACACTAATTTTTAACCTCAATTTTTCTTATTAGGTCTTTTAAATTATTAAACTGTGAATAAAAAATACCAAAACAATAAAATTAGCATTTCTATTTTTTATAATGTTACTAWTAAAAAAAATTACACTGTTTTACTGAATCTAAACWYATGTAAGACGACAAATATATATTGAATGACTTTCATTCTTGTAGAAATTGCACATATGCCTGTAAAAGAGTAACATAAAAATTAATTAAGTAATACACTTATTAAATAAAAGATTTAAAAAGTTAAATTTCATATTTGATAAATTACTAAAAATAAATCATTTTAAATCTAAAGATAAAATTTAGTAAATTAATAAGGAATTACAAGTTATTAAATTAAAATCGTATGAACT